AAATGGATGAGATTCCAATATGAATCCCTGCTCACACCTAAGCATTCTGTGAACGGGCAGGGCATGGCAAACGCAGGAAGAAACACACACAAATGCGACACGCATTCATGGTACGCTTAGGTGAGAGCAGGGACTAAAGAGTATATGCTGGTTGATGAACCAGCAGAAATTCACTGCGTGGCTGCTACTGTCTGTACCCTACTTTCTGCCTTGAAGAAGGGACCCTGTGCGGCCCCGAAACGTCGGCTTCTTCATGACGCTTTTTGTCCAATAAAGGGACATTTCTGCTTTCAAGTTTCGAGTGCTGGTGATTTTTTGTTTTTTGCTCTGTACCCTACCCCCGGCATCCCTCGATCAGCAGATCGAAGGTCCAAATATTTGCAGCAGAATGGAGCTAGAAGCCAATCAGCTGCTAGCTCCATTCGTATTTTCTGATAAGGGCCAGTGGCCGCTGTCCGAATACAAAGGAAACAGCAGGAAATGCATCCATCAATGCTCATAAGCGTTGACAAAGGAACATGTTCTATTTTTGAAAAAAAAAAGAACCACGTATACCCAGCTTTAGTCAAAAAGATCCATGTGTTCCCCTAACACATCCCCTAACCACGTGCAGCGTCCCAGCTTTTGTATACACATCCTGCAGAGCTACTGAAGAAACAAGTACAGACACCACCCATAGCTATCCTCTCTAGAGATCCTTCTAGTAATATCAGCACAGCAGAATGTAAAAAGAAGCCACATAGGTGGAAGAGACTGTGGTTTTTACATAATGCAGGGCTGGACAAATCCCCAGAGGCCAGGAAGCCAATGCTGTTTAAAAATGACAGCTTGCTCCTAACTTGTGAGGTTTGCTCTAGTTGTTGTCAATGGAGCTGGCTCCTAAAGAATCCTGCTGGATTCTAGATTGGACAGACTGGCTCCTGAATTCCATATTCATTTGTTCACCCCTGACATAAGGCACAAAGGCCTGTTTAATGTTTTTGCAGCCTGCTAGACAATGACGGCTCAAGGATGTACACTGAACGTGCTGTTATCCATTAAGTTCAACATGCCTGGTGTACAGAGAATATTTTGGAACATTTCCTGTAATTAATAGCCTGCCTGACATACCACTGCAAGATGTGTTACAGAACTGCAGGCCAAAGCAAGGAAGATAATACATTTCACACCTCTGTGTCAACTAGGAAGAGCAGATGACAATATGTTCCTAAATTCCTCATACCAGATATAGAGATTCAAATATGCATGATAAGGGGTATGGTATGTATCTGGAAATACCATCATTACTTCTGTTGGTTTCTACTATACCTAGAAACCAACATTCATATTAGTCTCTTCAAATTAAAACATCATCTATATCGGGGTAGCCAAACTTCTCTCTGGGAGTCATGTCTGTGGTAGTCAGAACGGGAGGGCTAAAGTCTTACTACCCTGATCTATAGTATATTAAACTGACACTAAACTCAGGAGTGAAATCATACAAATTCATTCAAATACCTTAACTATTAACAAAAATGTATCTGATTTGCGCATCACTGGGCTGTAGATCATCAAATCATCTCTGCATTCACACTGACACTGTCCTTCCTTCTGGAGGGTGGCTACTTTTGTTCCCCGTGGTCCCTGCATGTGTTGTAAAGTAGCCACCACTCCAAGCTCACTCCTGTGATGGACAACAATCTCAATACAAATTAGAAAAAAACTAAGCATGAGATTCTAGTCCATCACAGGAGTGAGCTTGGGCTCATGGCTACTTTACAAGACACACAGGGACCATGGGGAACAAAAGTAAGGCAGAGCCAGCTGCCACTCTTGCAGCTGGGTGGATCTCGACAGTCCCGGCTGCGGCAGTCTCAGTATACCACGAGCTCGATATATACTGAGTTTAGGGTTTACGGGAGGACGCTAGTATATGTCCTCCCGTGACCCTAAAGAGAACTATGGGGAAAAACACTTACCCCATAGTTCTCTTTTAAGGTATGTGAATGTATTTTTAAGGCTTAACTCCTCAGTTTAGTGTCACTTTAAATTGAAGACAATATAACAACGCTACTGTATTAACACGTGCATCTAAACATAAAAAAAGAGGTGCCAAAAGCAACCACCTAGAATCTCTTTTCTATTTTTAAGATTGTATCAGAAAAATGACAGCTTGAATCTCATTAGTCACTTTGGGCAAAAATGCCACTTCTAAATTCCTTCACTTATATAGAACCCCTGCGAGTATACATATCATAATAAATGTTAGTACTGATCAGATTGCATACCTCTTGTTCCTATTATTAAGCCCTTTCTACAGTTTATCCATACTTCAATTATTGATGAGTAAATTGCATCAACATTCTTTTAATGCAAGTATGTGTAATCCATCTTTAAGAATGTGTGCATTCACAGCCCCATTACACTATCGGAATGACTAAATTACAAAACCCCTGTTTATGTGTAAAAACTGAATGCTAATATCTACATAATTAGTCATAGTCCCGGCAAGTTCAAATATTTTTTCTAGTAATAAGCCACAAAAGGCAGCACTATAGAAAGTTCCAGGATGAAAGTTTATATTTTCACAGTGAGTGCAGAATAAAAACCGTACAGCTTCTGGCATATTTTAGCCGATCTTGGCCTTCATCATAGCTAATGCAAAAAACAAACGTATCTAAAAACATCAACAGGATTATTCACAAAAGGGTGGAGGGTTTGGAGAAGGCAGAAGAAGTGAACAATCTAGGACAACATAGCTGATTTGGAAAACATTCTCCAATTCAGCTCACTTTCCAGTACAGCTATGTTGTCCTAGATTGTTCACTTCTCCTGCCTTCTCCAAACTCTTCACCCTTCTGTGAATAGCCCTGTAAATCCTTATAAAAGCTGCTTACCAAACACAATATACTGACAATGTTAAAGTAGTATAGATAGTTCTCAAACTTTTTTTCAATACTTAATCCAGTTCAAACAAATATGCATTGCCCAGCAATTTTTCCAAACTGCAGACTCCGACAGTACAAGATCACAAGAGGGAGCACGGTCAGCAGCTGTCCATCTATTAGCTTGGAGAAGGGAGGAAGGAAGAGAGAGGAGTGGGGAGCAGGGAGCAGGGGAATGGCTTGTCTTTCTGTTCATGTGTGATTGTGGAGGCACACATAGCGTACTAGCACACACACGGGTGGCTCCATAGGACCCTGCGAAGGAAACAAACCACCCTATAACAGGATATCAGGGCCAGTGCTCAGGGGAACAGCTGATTCTGCAGGAAACTAAACTTTTAAACATCAATAAGCAGCAGCCATTGTAAGTAGGGATGCACCGATACCGAGTATTTGGCTGAGTACTCGTACTCACCCAAATGCTCCCATACTTACCCCCGATACCAGAACTTCTGGTCAGAGGGATACATTGAGTCGGCTTCCCAGGCCAATCAGGAAGCCAGGCGGCGGGTAATGACTTGCCGCCCGGCTTCCTGATTGGCAGGGAAGCCAGCTCCATTCTGTTTGGCCGGCTCCATGCTGATTGTCCGGGAAGCCAGCTTCCCAGCCAATTAGCATGGAGCCGGCTTCCCAGCCAATCATGGGCGGCGGGCTTCCGGCCAATCAGCATTGAGCTGGCCACACAGCAATGTGGCGAGTAATGACATGCAGCCCAGCTTCCTGATTGCCTGGGAAGGCGGCTCCATGCTAGCGGAAGTACTGGTATCGGAATTCGGTATCCGCGAGTACAAAAGGATAAAAACCGGTATCAGTGCATCCGTAATTGTAATGGATTTCATCAGCATTGGCAATCCTGTAAAAACCTTTTGACTTTAATATCACTTAAAATACAGACGCAAGTAGCATATAGAGCCTTCTGTACATATACAAGAGATCTGGGGTACAGAATAGAAAGGTGCTCCTAGTATATTGGACAGAGGTGGTATATTGTGCCCTCTGTACATATACAAGAGATCTTGGGTACAGAATAGAAAGGTGCTCCTAGTGTATTGGACAGAGGTAGTATATTGTGCCCTCTGTGCATATACTGGGCATATAAGGGGCACAGAATAGAAAGGTGCTCCTAGTGTATTAGACAGAGGTAGTATATTGTGCCCTCTGTGCATATACCGGGCATATAAGGGGCACAGAATAGAAAGGTGCTCCTAGTGTATTAGACAGGGGTATTATATTGTGCCCTCTGTACATATACAAGAGATCTGGGGTACAGAATAGAAAGGCGCTCCTAGTGTATTAGACAGGGGTATTATATTGTGCCCTCTGTACATATACAGGAGATCTGGGGTACAGAATAGAAAGGCGCTCCTAGTGTATTAGACAGGGGTATTATATTGTGCCCTCTGTACATATACAGGAGATCTGGGGTACAGAATAGAAAGGTGCTCCTAGTGTATTGGACAGAGGTGGTATATTGTGCCCTCTGTACATATACAGGAGATCTGGGGTACAGAATAGAAAGGCGCTCCTAGTGTATTAGACAGAGGTAGTATATTGTGCCCTCTGTACATATACTGGGCATATAAGGGGTACATGATAGGAAGGTGCTCCTAGTGTATTAGACAGAGGTGGTATATTGTGCCCTCTGTACATATACTGGGCATATAAGGAGTACAGAATAGAAAGGTGCTCCTAGTGTATTGGACAGAGGTGGTATATTGTGCCCTCTGTACATATACAAGAGAGCTGGGGTACAGAATAGAAAGGTGCTCCTAGTGTATTGGACAGAAGTAGTTTATTGTGCCCTCTGTACCTATACTGGGCATATAAGGGGTACATGATAGGAAGGTGCTCCTAGTGTATTGGACAGAGGTAGTATATTGTGCCCTCTATACATATACCGGGCATATAAGTGGTACATGATAGCTCTATCAGACACAGGCAGTAACTCTGTACATGCCACACACTGATGAAGATGTTACAGACAGTCTGGAATGGGGTGCCGGGCCCCCGGGTTTGTGTAGTACAAGCTCCAGATGTGTGTGAGGAGGAGACTGATGTTTCAGGGCAGTGATTTACCTGGCGCTGATGAGCGAGCAATCCGCCTCCGACCATCCCGGCAGGGCCAAGCGGGCACAGCGACTACACAATAGATAGAGCCCCGGGAAGAAGAGAGATCCAGCAGCCAGTACATGCCACATCGTGCCCGCTAACTAACACCTCGGCTGATGCCCAAGTCCGGGAGCCGCCTGCCATTGCCAACACCGCAGCCCGCCCACACCCACGTCACTCGTCCTCAAACTCTGCCCACCGCCGCCGCACCAATGGCACAGCCACGCCCACTCCATGTCAATCACTGTTTAGTCTTCAGGCCACGCCTACTAGATTGGTCAGCACTGCTCTGCAGCATCCTACCCGTCGGAGTGGTGTGTGCAGTGTACTGGTCTAGAATGATAATCATCACCCGTGGTATGCTCAGCAGCGTCACATTCATATGTGAGCTACTCATAAGTGTGCACACAGCGCTGCAATACATATTGCTGGCCATCAGCGTCTTAACACTCCTCTACGCTATATACTGCTCACCATCATGACCTCCACACTCCTCTCCTATTCATACTGATCATACACTACTTTCCTGTACCCGTAATACCCTCCACACCCCTCCTATATATAATGCCCTCTGTCATACCCTCTGCACTCCATTCCTGTACATACTGCCTCCTGTCATACCCTCCACACTCCTTTCCTGTACATACTGCGAGCAGTGGCGTAACAAGGGGGGGGGTCAGCCAGTGCTGTTAATAGTAATAACAGTAACCCTGCAGCTCCGTGTAAACAGTGAGAGGGGAGACCAGGCCAGTAAGTAGAGACGATGACAGGGCACCAAGATGACGAATGTATACACCAAGGTGGTGGTGCCCATACTTGCGTGTGATGTCACCCGACACTGCGCAGCATCATGTGACATCATGCGTTCTGCCTCCAGATAGCTGGGCACATGCGTTCTGCCTCCAAGATAGCTGGACACATGCGCGGAGCGTGCTGGTGGCCGCTATGACCTCTGTGCTTTCTGCCTACTAATTATTATGTGCCCGAATATGTTTTTCGTATATTCAGGCATATAATAATTTGCTGATTCGGATGAATGGAATTTCGTTGATTTGCAGGATCACCTGTGAGCCCAGCCTCAGGAAGCTGCAGATCAGTACCGCATGTGGACAAAATGCAAGTCAATGAGGCCTAAGGACCATTTTTCAAAGGTCAAAAATACAGTTCCTGTTGTGCCAGTGGCATTTCTGTGCTCTTCACTACAGCACAAACTACAAAAAGAAAATTACCAGGGTTTTGCATAAAAGGGTGAAGAGTTTGGAGAAGGCAGGAGAAGTGAACAATCTAGGACAACATAGCTCAACTGGAAAGTGAGCTGAATAGGAGAATCTTTCCAAATCAGCTATGTTGTCCTAGATTGCTCACTTCTCCTGCCTATTCCAAACCCTTCACCCTTTTGTGAATAGCCCTGTCAGTGTCTGGGTTTTGTATAAGGGATAAAGAATTTTTAGACTAAATTAAACACTATTTTGCACCTTATTTTTAGTCAGTGGCCCAAAGACTTCCCATATTGTAACCCAAAAAGATGTTTCCTATACTGAATCTCCCAATATTAATGGACCAGGAACTAAGAACCAACAATTTAAAGTTAAGATTCACCAAAGAGGGCTTCTTTACACCTGGCATGGGCCCATTATATTTACAGAATTAGTAAACACATTTAGGCTGCCTACAGACCTACTTGTATAGTACTACAGAGCAAGACTTGAATGTCCTGTTTGCACTTCAAGAGAAAATTGGTGACTCAAGGTATTTTTAAATATGATTCACACCATTTCTGATACATGCCACCTCATTTCCTGGCTGGAGGATGTCCACCCCATTAACTGGTTCTTTCTTCCACAGCATGGAAGAAATTAGCAAATATACATTTGGACAGCCTACAGACCTACTTGTATAGTACTACAGAGCAAGACTTGAATGTCCTGTTTGCACTTCAAGAGAAAATTGGTGACTCAAGGTATTTTTAAATATGATTCACACCATTTCTGATACATGCCACCTCATTTCCTGGCTGGAGGATGTCCACCCCATCAACTGGTTCTTTCTTCCACAGCATTACTGACCCTAGTCCTTTTAATCATGGAGGCTCAACATCATACGTGGGCATTACCAAGCATGGTCTGCAAGCAAATGCAGCATGCCTAGTAACGCCCCTTTAGACTGACATCTACCCATCAAAACATGCTTAACTCCTCAAATGAGCCAGTCCACTGCTTGCATCAGGCCAAACCTTCCCCAATCCTACCCTTTTTAAAGTGACACTAAATCCAGGAGTTAAATAAATATGCACATAAGAATTTTATTGATCTGCATACTTGTTCTGCGTTAGTAATCTTTAAACAATTTAAGCCAGTGGGTCAGTAACAACCAAATAGTTTTCAAAACGATGAACGTAATGTTTGCTCATACATTTTAAAGTGGTTCTAAACCCAGATGCCCTCCTCGGGTATTAAGTTGCCACAATTATTCTATCTATCAAAAGCTGAAACATAAATTGCCCAGATACCTTTCTTCTTTTAATTTGTGCAGGTCACGTGACAAATTCCTTCCTTCTTTCCTTCTCTTATCTGCACGGCCCATGTTCATGAGCAGGACTAAGCAACAAGACTAAACTACAGCTCATCACAGGTCTGGATGACATCATTGCTGCTTATTCTCATTCTTCTCCCAAGGCAGCGTAAAAGTGAAGTGGAAGAAAAGTGATCAAGTACTACTACAGCAAGGCCCTCTGGAGGAGCCACTGCCAATCAAGTACTCTGGACCGAACCTAGCAGGCATTGCTGGCTGTGATGTGGGCATATAGTAGCTGGAAGGGGCAAAAAATGCTGTGCACAGACACGGCTTTTCTTTAGAGGAAAAACTATGTGCACTATGGTGGCAGCATTGCAGAGGCTAGCTCATCTTGTAGATCATTTCCACCATAATGAAGGAAAAGCAAGGAACTGACAGGATCAACAGGTATTTTCTGCATAATTAAACTTGTTCAGAATAAATGACGGGCACACAACATTAAATGAAGGTAATAGGGAGGCTTTTATTAGGATTTTTCGAGGGTTTACTTACACTTTTAGGTTGTAACGGAGGAATTTGTGAAACTTACGCAACTGGCCACATTTGCAGGTGTGAATGGGTCCAAAGAGAATTGTGTAGATTAATATCACATTCACTGATCTTGAGAATTAATAATGTGATGATTTGGGTCCTGACCCACTGCTTACACATCAAGCTTTTTCTGATGCTCTGTTTTACTTACAAGTGCATACTGTTTGTTTTTCTAAGTAAAAGTGTGAGGGTGTAGGAGAATCATGTCTGTTTTCCGTTTTTTTATTTTAAAAAAAATACATACAGTGTATATTATTAGTATATAAGGATATGGGTAACCAGTGATGAAATGCTAAACACAAGCATATCCAAACTATTGCTTAAAGGGTTATTAAACCCTCTGTTCTTTTTGCATATATCTACTGCTAGCAAGCAGTAGATACTGTATGTGCAAAAACTTTTTTTTTTACACGCTTTAAAAAGGGTTAATACTTACCTGTGTCTTCCCCGCACGCTCCCATCCGAAAATCTGAAAAATCTCGGGCGGCCGTAAAGAATCTTGGGGCGAGCAGGCGCATGCGCAATTCAGATTTTCGGCCGGGAGACAAGGAGAGACACAAGGTACGTCTATGAACACGTGGACCCGCATGCAGACACCGTGGGACAGGAAGTGCCTATGGATCATGTTCTCAAGCCACATCAATAGCACTTTTGCTTATAGCATACCAAATTCATAATGGTCATGCTACAGTTCAGAATCTTCATGAATTATGGTATAACATATCTGGAATCAATGTTATGTGTCATCCATTAGCACAAGGACTTTGACATTATTCCTCACATTTTGCAGTAGTGCCTTATACCCATATCAAGCTGACTGAAGATTTATAAATGTGTTCATCACAGTAATGCAGTCTCATAAAAAATGAAAGTTATACATCGGATGTCATCTTTGATGGCATTTAAGGCATAGTTAATTCTAGAATGAGCAAAACATTGTGCAAGAATACAGGTAGGAATCCAAAAAAAGCCAGTAAAAGGCAAGAGAGAGACAATACATTATGTCACGGTTTCCTTAAGTGCTCAGTATTGATCCCCAAGGGTCAGCAGGACTATTTAAGGGGTCCTAAAATGACTGGGGGGGCAATAGGTGGACGCTAAATGATGGAAGGTCAATTGGGGTCAATTGATCTTTTGTCTCTGTAGAGCTCCACACCAGTACCTTGTCCTGAAGGTGAGGGGGTTACGAGTTAGATATTGTTTCCCTGGGCTGGATGGTCAGCCACCAAGAGTCAACAGTATTCATAACATGATTATTATTATTATTGTTTGTTATTATTATTCATAGTAATATTAATTTAATATAATAAATGTTTGTGGGTTGATGAGCAACCTAAAACTTAATGAGGGGGTCAATGAGTTTGGGCACCACTGCTCCCTATCTTATAAACTGTTTTACTTACAGTAAACACAGTCAAGAAAATAAACATTTCTGGCATTACATTTTCTTCTTTTCATAAGAGGCTTGAATTAAAATGTAAACCCTAACTTCAGGCAAAATGTTTCTTAAAAATAAAAAGAGAAAGTCCAAAATAAAAAAGTTGCTTTGTCTCTAATACTTACCTCCACTCAGGGGCTGTACCTCTACTCCGCCACAAGATATCCTCAGTATTGCAAGCAGGGCTGGATTTCCCACAAGGCCAACTAAGGCCCGACCTCGGGGCAGCAGGGAGTAGAGGGACAGCAGGGGTGTGGAATTCCTATCTCCCGATGCTCAGGCAAGTTGTTGTTTTCTACATTTAGCCCTGCTTTGGGCAAGCAGAGCTAAATGTACAGTGGGCAAGCCACCGCTTGTTTTGTACAAGTAATCTCGGCAACATTGTATGCAGCCTGCAGGTCTGCCATTCTCCATGGGGGGGGAGTTTGGCGGGTAGGGGGGCGCATTGAGGAACCTGGCCTTGGGGCAGCAGAGAGAGTAAATCCGGCCCTGATTACACTAACATCATTCAACCCAGAAGACTGAGGCCATATGATGCTTATTGCCACTTCCCTCTTGGGACAAACTGGGGGCAATGGGATGAGCCCGGAGTACACCAAATTGTAACAGTGAAGGAGGAAATGTTCTGTTTTTTCACTGAAGCTTC